TGGGTCTTGTATGGTCCTTAAATGATTCAATTGTGTTTGTTGTTATATATAAAGGCTTGAAAAAGATAAAAGACATAACTTTCATTTTTACACTAATCAAAAAGCATCTCCGCTTCCAATTTTCTTATTCTACTAGAACGAGTTTCCAACTTGACCTTCATCTCTATAGCCTTTTTTTACCCTTCTCCTACCTAATTAGTTAGATTATCAACTTATTTATTTAAGTGAGTTATTATCTTCTTACTTTTATTAACCTCATCCATATGTCATTTTTTCTCATGTTGAGCTTCCTCACATGCTTTGAGCTTTTTCTTCCCTTCGGACTGATCCTCTCAATCTCGAATTTCAAACACTATTGTCATTGTGATTGCCTTATTCAAACAAGTTTGAATACCACGAGTCATATCTACACAACTTACCTTATTGTGTGATGGAATATCAACTTCTAATAGATTGTGAGCATGATTATGGGCACTGTGATTGAAAACAGCATCCTAGAATGACTTCCCTTCAATAACTCATTGCCAAACGCGCCTTTGGGTATGATATTAATAGGCTTGGGTTGGGGCAGAGTGGTAGCTTTCCTTTTTGTCTTCAAACTTAAATTTGTCTCAATCCTTTCACAATCCAATATGGACATCCTCGTGAATTAGAATAGGTAGATTTCCACCTTGTCCTTCAACTTCTTGAGCTCTTATCTAACATAGACGTCGAGCTAGATCCTTCTTTGAGATCACCATTTGGTTCTCTACACAACAAAGTCATAAAATTAACCTTCACACAAAGAGGGTTTAAATCGTTTATTCCAAGGAATTCCAGAGTCAGGGTATAGTATATATAATTTAAGATCTATTGTTTGATACTTTAATTGTATCAATTTGATGATGTCAAATACTATTTTTAGTTCTTCTAGCATCAAGCAATGTTTGGCTTACTCTTTATCTAAATGTTTTATCTTTCTACAAGTTTATTTGTGTGTCTTTTGGGTCTAATACAACGGGAAACCCTCCAACAGGTCAAGAATAACTTTAAAAGGTCAGATTTTGAGAAATATTCCTTAAATTGTTTATAGGAGGACATGAATAATGTCAACAAACTCCTTCCAACAACTTCATTCACTTATGCCCACAAGGTCCACATAGAAGATTCAAACAGAAAGAAATAGAAGAACATATTTGAAGTTGTCACAATACTGTAAAGTGTGCAAAGGATATGAAATGCACGAATAAATGCCCAACTATTAACATGAAGTTGGGTTGGTATGAGATTTAGTATAGTTAAAATCTCCTTTTTCAAAAGGATTTAATGGAGGACACAATCCTAATTTTACAAACACGGTATCTTAAAAAAGGTAAAAGAGTTTTTTTTTTCATGGTTTCTGCAATTGGCTCATCCAAGTCACAAGCTTGTATAATTATGTCCCCCTGGTTTCCTGGTCGACTTATACCCTAACTATTTCTAAACTTTCTCAACACCTTAGTATTCGAATAACCACATATCTTATGCAAAATCTTTGGTTTGACCTAGGTGTACAAGCTCTAATTATCCATATTTTCCATTTATTTTCTATGTTACTAACTTAGGGTTCTCTATCACAAAACTTTTACACAACACCAAATACAAGGAACATGGCAAACAAACTTACAAATATACACCAAAGAGAAGTGATGAAATCAGAAAAAAAAAAAAAAGGGATTGATTTTGAGAAGATGACAATGTACCTATAATAATGGATGAACGAGAGACAAGATAATAAAAGCAAACTCATTAAGTAACTCTAGTAACACACACGATTTTGATAATGGAGATGCACATAAAAAGGGCTTTATGTAGATTTTGATAATGGAGATGCACATAAAAAAGGGCTTGATGTAGATTTTGAAATGGCTGAGAAGGGAAGAACAATGGTTAAAACAAAGGGAAGAACAATGGTTAAAAAGAAAGGAAAAGTAATGGTTAAAACACTCAATACATAAGGAGTATTTGAAATTTCTATTTGTTTATAGTTTAAAGAGACACTACCCTTAAGTAAGGTGGCATATACATCTTATCAATCATATCACCTCTCTCGAATATACAATTATCCTATTTTGACAACAATCTTTTGAACTATTGTCCTCTAATACTTCTAATTTTTCTTGTGTGACGACTAGGTATCATATGCTGACCTTCCCTTGATTAGGTTTTTTGTGCTCAAGTACTTTGGAGAATATATGTGACAAAGTTGATTTTAAGACAATATTTTCAAAATCACATATTTCTTACTTAGTCTCATCGGCTCAAAAGACTAAATACTGAGGGAGTTGCATACTATCATACGTTGAGTCTCATCCACAAGCCGAGCTTGGTGGTCGGATTACAAAATATAAGTTAAAGGCTTACCTTTGAAAGCGTCAAAGTTAGGTGCCACAAGAGCGAAAAACATTAACCTCATACGCTTAACTTAATCAACCACACCACCCACTTCTCTATAGGGTGCAAAATGGGTCAGTTTGCCAAAAACGAGATAGAAGTGATTGAGCTACTATAGTCAAGATTTATAAACCTTAGTCCACCTGCCAAAGAGTTGATAATATTTTTTATATATAATTTTTTTGTATGTATTTTTTAAAAATGCACCTTTAATTATATGAATATTTTTAAGTTTGTATTCATTAATTAATTTTTTTATTAGATAAATTGAAATATTACTATTTTTATGTCTTAAATTTAATTTATGATTTAAATTAATTAGTTAGTATTTATGATTTAAATTATAATATTATAATATATTTGTATATTCTAACAACAAAGCATAAAAAAATTATAATTTTTTTAATTATAATTATTTTAATTTTATTTTAATATATAAATATTTTAAAAAAATGTTAAATTGTTCTTATGTCATTGACCAAGTTAGGTAAAATGAGTAAAAACTGATAAACAAAATAAAATTATCAACTTATCTCATCAATTTAAATCCTAACTCATTTTATCATCTTACACCTTTTTAATAAGATATCAATTATCACCAAAATAAAATACAGATAAATGATCCCTAAATCAAATAACAAAATATCTATCAATAATATATATATATATATATATATATATATATATATATATATATATATATATATATATATATATATATAAAGATAAATATTAAAAAATACCGATCTCATTTAATTTCGATTCTGGAAAATATTTCTAAGATCTGTATTAAAAGTAATATTTTTATTTATGATCAATTTTTGGAATCCAGATGTCCTTGTAATAAAAGAGCAATTACTTGTTTAAATCTTCTTAGCTTCAATTCGATAATGTTTACATAATAATAGAATTAAGGCGTGAGAGTGAAAAAACATTCATTCTAATAAGAAAACCTCTGTTTGAAAAAAATAAAATAAAAATAGAAACGATTGCATGAAAAATCGAAAAGTTTGGTCCATTATTTAAAAAGAAACAATTAAACATAGAAAAGAAAAAATAACAAGGGGGAGGATAAATTAAAACCATATATAATTTAAAATCTTAACTAATTATATTACCAATTATTTCATCTAATGGTCAATTTTAATGTTCCATTAACAGTCAATTTTAGAAGGCCAGATACACTAATGAATTTTAATTTAAGAAACCGTTTTCTATAAAATATTTGCTTTTGCGCGACTCTGTGGATATATGAACCTGGACGTAATTACGCACAATTTCACGATGCATTTCATGATATATAAAAAAAATCGTCATAAAATTTTACAAAGAAAAATGAGTATTACAACTTAGAAGAAGTATGAAGAGTATTTAGTTCCTTCATCACGTTTTTTAAAATAATTTCATACAAGTGTCTAATTACTTTTTTTATTGGAAATCTATTAAAATTTTAAAGTTAAAAAAAATAGAAATTGATATGAAATATTTTCTACTTCTTCTATTTTATTTTAAGTGTTCTATTAAAATGCTCACCAATAAACTTTTAGATTTTTTTCTTTTAAAAAAAAAAAATAAAGCTCAAGGTGAAGGAACATACACTTTTTAAATTTGTTTAGAAGATAGAAATTTGAAAAACTGAAACTTATTAATTTTTTTCTTTACAAAAAACAAAAATTATTCGTTTTCTTTTACTGCTTCATTTTATGTCATTTCACAATGAAAATAAGAAAAAACATTTCACTTAAACAAATGAGATTTCCAGTCAAGTGTCGTTTATGTTGAAGAGATAAGGTTTAAGACAAGAAAACCTAAAAATGTGGATGATTTGAATACATTTAATAGTTTTTTACTAAAGTAATTGTTTCTAAAAAAAATTACTTTATATATTTTTAGCATGATAAATATTTTTATTCATTATTTTACTTTTTGTTCATAAGCCCCTTTCCGTTAAATAATATTTCTTAAATATACAATAATTATAAATTAATAATTTAAAATTTGGTTTTATTTAATATTTTATCCTAGATCAAATTTGATTTTAATACACCAAGAGATTAAAATATTAATACATTGGACATTACTATTGGAACAAATATAATTTAAGTAAAAACTATAACTTCAGATTTTAAATTATAGTCATTTATTAACTTTTAAATGATTAATATTCAACTAACGTTCTCTGAATAATGACGGTAATAATATTTATTTGTCTTTATAATAATTTGTATTGTAAGATTTTTTTATTTTATTTTATTTTTTTCTAATTAGGCCTTAGAACAGTTTGGAAGACTTTGGTGTCGTATGTTCATTTTAAAACAAAATTGATTTTGTTGGTAATAGTAGATGGTTAGTAATAGTAGATGATTTTGGCAACGCCAGTGTGATGGTGCGGGAACTTGTGAACGGTCAACGGACCTGCCACGCCAGCGCGATTCCTTTCACATTCACAGTTTGCGTTTCCCAAAATAACCTCCAACACTCAATAAAAGGATCTGACCAATCACAACAAAGACCATTCATCTTTTCATCACCAGTGCCTCCCGTCGCATACACACAACTGAGCTTGCAGTGTTTCTCATTTCACTTCTATGGCCAAGACCTTCAAATACGTTATCGTCGGAGGAGGAGTTGCCGCTGTTAGTTCCTCATCCTCTCTCCCTCTTTTCATCTTCACTTTTTTTAACCGTTACCTCGTGTTTTCACTCTCGATCGGTTTTTACTTTCTTCGATTTGCTTTGAAATGCACTGATCTCGAAATTCTACTGTAGTTTACGTTTATCTCCAAGTGCTTCTTGATCCGTTCGAGTTTACTAACGGAATCTCAGAATTGAGTTTTAGAATCAGCGGACCTAGGCGACTTTCCGTTTACGGAATGCGAATAGGTCGATTAGCATTTTCTGTCGCTTCCGTTAGCTCTTTATGCTGTGAGCTTGGACTGCGAGATTGTAGAATGCGAAAATAGTTATTGTTGTGAAGACTTTTTTATTATCTCGTGTTTTGAATTGTGGATACTGTTACTAATTAGTTCTCGAAATCGCAGGGTTATGCGGCGAGGGAGTTTGCCAAACAGGGAGTTAAGCCAGGGGAGTTGGCTATCATCTCCAAGGAAGCGGTATTTAGTTTATATATAGTTTATTAAACTGTGTTTTCTGCCTTGTGTGTGTTAGTAAATCTTATTGTTCATTTCACCATATGTTGATGCTTCAATCCTCCGCTGTTTGATTTTCATTCCATTTGGACATACCGTCTATTTGTCTTGTTAAGGCAAGGTTATCAAACTGCAATTATCATTAATTGTACAAATTGTAAAATTCATATATACATGCGATAATTTTAAATTAGAAAATGGCCGTAAGTCTCGTGAAACATGTTCATAAATCATAGATACATGTGAAGCCTCTGTTTTAGAAGATGGTAAAGAGAGCAATGAAATAGCCAAACAGTGAATGAGTGAGTGATTGATTATGCGAAACTCCGCCTTCAGAAGAATGAAAATGAAGCATTTGAAAATTCCGTATTTTGTTAGTTTTGTTTAATTATTCAAGCTTATCAAACTGATCAATTTCTTTGATATGAAATGGTGAAAATAAAATAAAATAAAAAGGAAAAACATTGAATTGTGCAATTCATATCAATTATACGGAATCACTATGATTCATCCATGTATAGTTATTCACATGATATGAATCCTTGGATAGTCAAATCATATCGAATTGTACTATTCGAATAGTGAATCGTGTGATTCTAATAATAATGGACCTAATTCATTTAAGTAGCAATCTTGAATTGTACCTCTAATAAAGGCTGTTATCCTCTTTGCTGTTTCTTTGAATGGTAATATTTGGTTGCAAGCCAAGATGGTGAAGCAAACTTATGCATATTCTGTCAGATTTTGTACCACATTTTTATCGATTGAACCTGTTGCAATTATTTTTGCTTCATATTCCCTTATGTATTGTATATGTTTGCACAGGTAGCACCTTATGAACGTCCTGCTCTGAGCAAGGCTTATCTTTTTCCAGAGTGTAAGTTTGTGATGCTATTAATACGTACATCTATTTTTTTCCCAATCCATTATGGGTTTAATATTGGTAGCTACAATGTTGTATAGTGTTCTGTTGGTTTTATCTTTTAAAATATATTGTTGGGTTGAATTTAATCTAGGTATTCTGTTGTTTATCCTTGGCTTTTCATCTCTGTCGAATTCTCCATTAAAATTTAAATATCAGCTTGCCTTGCTCGTGTCACTGAGTATTTTACCTCGATGTCATAATTTGATTTTGCAGCCCCTGCTAGACTTCCTGGCTTCCATGTCTGTGTTGGAAGTGGAGGAGAAAGGTTGCTTCCTGAGTGGTACACAGAAAAAGGTGACTGTGGCTCTCACCCACATTGTTTTAGTTCAGCATTGTTACTCGATGGTGTTAGGAATCAATAGTTGGATATATTATATCAAGTTAAGGGAAAGAATGGACCTTAACAGTCTTCTAATACAAAGTTACAAATTGTTCTGATGATTGCAGGGATTGAGTTAATTCTTAGTACTGAAATAGTGAAGGCAGACCTTGCTGCAAAATCTCTGATCAGTGCCGCAGGAGAAACATTCAGTTATCAGACTTTGATTATTGCAACTGGCTCAACAGTAAGGATGCTTGTAGATAAGAGAAATGTTGCATTGTCCCCGTTGGCCTCGTACTAATGCTAATAATGTAATTTGCCAGGTTATAAGGCTCACAGATTTTGGTGTGGAAGGAGCTGAAGCGAAAAACATCTTTTATTTGAGAGAGGTTGACGATGCTGACAAATTGTATGAGGCAATCAAGGCAAAGAAGAATGGGAAAGCTGTGGTTGTTGGGGGAGGATACATTGGTCTGGAGCTTAGTGCAGTGTTGAAACTCAACAATATTGATGTTACTATGGTCTACCCGGAGCCTTGGTGTAGTAAGTGGATATTTCGTTTTACACCACCCATTCTCGTGTGTTACCCCATGTGTCAAGAGTAGGTATCCTAGAGACTGTATATGAACTAACACTGTAAATTGATGTTGCAGTGCCACGACTTTTTACTGCTGGTATAGCTGCATTCTACGAGGGGTATTACGCAAATAAGGGCATCAATATCATTAAAGGAACTGTTGCTGTTGGATTCACTTCTAATTCTGATGGAGAGGTACGGTTGCTTTTAATCACGAACCCTGTCATAGGATAGCATTATAAAGTTCGTAATCAAACTTAGCATAACTCATCAACCATTCAGGTAAAAGAAGTCAAACTAAAGGATGGCCGGGTCCTGGAAGCTGATATTGTTGTTGTGGGTGTTGGAGGAAGGCCACAAACAGCATTATTCAAAGGACAGGTTGAAGAGGAGAAGGGTGGAATCAAGGTCAGTGATACCATATCCGGAGGGTTGTTGGCAGGCTCTAAAATATTCTTGTTATCAATATCAATGATAGCATTTGTTTTGGTGCAGACTGATTCCTTCTTCAAAACTAATCTTTCTGATGTATATGCTGTTGGTGATGTTGCTACTTTCCCTTTGAAATTATACGGTGAATTGAGAAGAGTTGAACATGTTGATCATGCTCGCAAATCAGCTGAACAGGCCGTGAAGGTAAGCTTCCCTAGATTTGTCATTTTTATGCAAAAAATACATATGTCCTGTCAATCCTGACAATCAGTATTGAAAGCATTCAATGTTTTCTTAAGCCTCATACTTACTGTCCTGTTTCCCACTGTGATAACGTGTTTTATGTAGGCCATCAAGGCAGCTGAGGATGGAAAAACAGTTGAGGAGTATGACTACCTTCCATACTTCTATTCCCGTGCATTTGATCTGTCATGGCAATTCTATGGCGACAACGTTGGTGACACAGTGCTATTTGGGGACAGCAATCCAGCGTCACCAAAGCCTAAGTTTGGGTCATACTGGATTAAAGATGGGAAAGTTGTGGGGGTCTTTCTGGAGAGTGGAACTCCCGAAGAAAACAGTGCTATTGCTAAAGTTGCTAGGGTCCAGCCTCCGGTTGCGGATGTAGAACAGCTTGCGAAGGAAGGTCTTTCCTTTGCTAGTAAAATATAATGTTTGTTGTATTTTGGGAAGGAAATGATGCTTTGGTGATTTGCATAGCTTGTATCTGAACTAGCTACAGTTTACTCTGGATTATGTATTACGGGAACTTTATTTTGTGCTTTTTGTTTGATGTGATTGAAAGGGATATTTTTTACCGTAACTATTTCCGTTCTCTTGCAACTTTCTGGTTCTGCTTACGGGTTTGCAGAATTGATGAGCAGGGCTATTTGCACTGCAAGCCACAAAACAACAAAAACGTAGAAATAACATTTATATGAATTGCTAGATTTTATGTTTAGCCCAAGATTTTAAAACACGTTCTGCCCAGTTGTCTCACTTTGATTCATTTTTCATGGGAGGTGTATTGGTCCACGCAATGATAATATTTTGGAGTTATTTGGCGACAGAGAAGTTAAATATTCCTAGTTGGTTTCTTCCTCTTTCTTTGCTGCCTAATCGCGGATTTACCGTAAGGGTTTCTTCTTTGTCGCGCTGAGGTTTCAGAAATTTCATTTGGGCTGGAAGTGAGAAGGGATACGTCACACTCACAGGGGCACACGATGCTTCGATTGTCGTGCCCGTATATGCTTATATGTATGTAGTGAGTCTACTTGGATCATGCTTTATTGTGAACTCCGACTTCCAAGAGTGCCTGTTGTTATTTGTTCCGAGAGCCAAGAGTGCTTGTTGCTTTTGAGTGTGTTTATTTGCCTTCTAAAATACCAATAAGATATGTCGTCGTTGTCTTCTGCAACAGAGGAGCTTTCGAGTGGGTTCATATATAAGGCGCGGGAGGTGGCAGACCGATGTAGCGGGGATAACGTGGACACTTCAACTTCGACTTCTGACGACCACGGCAGAGGTGAGGCGTCTGACGTGGGTTCGTCAAGGGGGGTTGATGACGGGAGCGTCAAAGTTGTCGCGGAGCAAGCGAAATTAGATCATCCGCTAAGGAGGGCTCTTCCTAGGTTGACCCACGTGTAAATGACTACTTCTCCAAGTATCAGTGGTCATCCGTTTTGTAGTCTTTCACTGCCAGTCAGCGTAAGGTCGACGGAGCCGGGGATGAGGATGTGATCTCCCTTGGGTAACGTTTGTCATGACCGTGAGGGGTGGTTAGATGATCTTCTACATGTATGCTTGCCTTGTGAGGGATTTGCACGTCCGCTTTCCGTTGGACGAGTTTACCATGGGAATATTGCGGGTCTTGAGTGTGGCTCCCATTCAACTTCACCCAAATAGTTGGGCCACCCTCCAGGCCTTTCGACTGGTGTGTGATGGTTTACAACTCACTCCAACTTCCCCAATTTTTCTACATCACTTCAGTACCCGTCCGAGTGAAAAAGTATTTTTATGATAGGGACAAGGCCAAGTTTCCATTCTATTGGACTTCAAATCCTACCCGTTATTGTTATTGGCCGAGGAGTGACATGCGATCATCCGATATTCAGGTTTTGCATATTTTGGACAAACTTTCTCACCGACTCCCCACCTGGAAACTCATCGGGACTTATTTATCTTCACGTTAGAGGAGCGATATTTTTTGTACATTTTTATTCCTTATTAGTTGTGTTTTTTATTGTCGGTGTTAACTAATTGAATTGTTGGTGGTTTTATTGCAGATATCATGAACGCCGCTTTCCTTTCCAATAAGGGGTTGTTCTGCCAATTGCACAAGGAGAAAGCGCCATTAGCAGCAGAAGAAAGCGCCTAAGCCAACAAGGGGAAAGGGGTTTCTAAGGAAATCCCGACAGTCTCGCTTCCTCCTCTAATGGAGGCGAGGCAAAAGCATAAACGGCGAAATGGTAAGCGTCACTTGCCCGAAGAGCGCTTGCCCAAGAAGGCTTGCACCGACAATGCAGACGTCGATTATAACATGTTTGGCCAAGACCTACAGGTGTTGACCAAGTTGAAAGTTGAACATTGCTTTAATGGTCCTAGAACGGGAGGTGTATGCCTTGGCCTTGCCATCTAAACTATACAAAGCTTTTATGGAGCTACAGACATGTGACCTACTTATAGGTAAACGCTTTTGCAATGACTTGGTGGAGTCTAGCGGCTTGGAGGTGGTGAGGCTAAAACAAGAGTTGGCCGACTCTAGTGATGCTCTGCAGTGGTCGTTGGAGTCAAATTCTGCCCTGAATGATAAGGTCGTGAGCTTGGAGGAGAAGGTGAGGGAGCTAGAAGAGAAATTGGAGGTCACCTATACTGAGCATGTTGAGTGGCATACCAAGTTCCTTCAAGGTGAGAAGCGTGAGGTTACTTTTAAGATGCAACTGGACTCGGTCGAGTGTATTGAAGGCTTCAACAAAGCACTACGTTAAATGAACTTTTTATTCCGCTAAATATATATCATTTTACTCTTTATTTTTTTATTTAAGAATATTTTTTAAGTTAATTATTTTATTTATAAACAATGTGTTTAACATGTTTTTATTAAAAAATATAACATAATTCAATTTTTCTTAATTTGTTATATTTTATATAGTTTTAACATAATAAATAATATAAATGCAGACATCTATATTTTATATATTTTTTTCTTTTTTTAGAAGAGGTAATTTTAGATGAGCTAAATTGATGGAAAGAAATATCTAAATTGATGTCGTCAAACTTTATTTTTCTTAGAAGCCCAAGTTTGTTTGTGTAGTCCATTTGTAGAAAGTTACAAATGAAAATTTTGAATCAAGCAAATTAACTGATGCGAGAATCTAATTTAACTCGAATTAAAAGTTAGCAGAAATAAAGAATTAAATGCAAATCAATATTGGATCACTCAAAATAGGAAAGAAATAAATTATTTTCTCTAAATCAATCCCATAAATTTTTCTTCATAGTAATCCGATTTTGCAATTTTTCATTTAGGAAACATTTGATTTTTATTGTAATTGATTTTAGGTTTAATTTCTCTTCAATCCTTATAATAGAGGTCTTATAACAATAATACGATTATAATTTCTTTAACCTGGGGTTAGAACTGATTTTCTTTTCTCGTTCTCAGTTTTTAGTTAGGCGAGTTCATTTACTGCTACTGCACTTCTGGTTTGTTCTCTTTTATTTAATTTGTAATTTCTATTGAATCTCCAGTTTATATTGTCCTATTTACTTTAATCATTCAAGTGCTTATTTTAATTTCTGCTATTTAATTGTTTGGAATTTTTATTTCAATACTTGTTTAATTTTCATTTTCAATTTATCTCTTTTTCAATTTCAATTCTCAATTTAATTTTAGAATTATCACTTTCGAATTTTTAAATTTAATTATTGCACTATTTTATTTTAAAGCAATTCTTGATTCTTATACTTTTAATTTAAAACACTTTATTTTAATTTTATAAATTTTAGTTATTTAAATTATTCACCAATTTAATTTTAATTACTACACTATTTTGTTTTAAAGCAATTTTTATTCCTACAATTTTAATTAAAAACACTTTATTTTAATTTTATAAATTTCAGATTATTTAAATTCTGCTTTTGTTTAATTTTAATTGTCGTTAATATTTTATAGCAATTTGATTTTAATTTTTATTATTTTGCATCAATTTGTTTCTTTTTCACTCTTTCATTCATCCCCTATTTATTGTTATTTACTATTTTAGAGAAAATGATATGTGATAATAAGTATGTTCCTATAATTATGTCCTTGTGAGATTTGACATAGTTAACTATACTGCATTAGTTTAACAATTTGTTTATTATTTTTTTTTTATCATATTTTGTGCAAATAAAATGTTGTTATCAATGACATTATTGTCGGGAACACAATTGTGTTGCGTAACATTGTTTAATATCATTTTTTTTCTAATTTACTTAAAAAAAATTCAAAAAACAAATTTTGTTTGTGTGTGCTCCTTAACCCTTCTCGTAGGAAATTCTAGATAATTCATCCTTGGAAGAAAATTCTTGAAAACGATTCTCATAGAAAACTCTGGATATAGGTTGGTAGTATGAGAGTACATGTCTAGGAGGATTCTGGCTAGGAAATATTTGATACTTAAGTGTGTCCATTAATGACCCACCACTCTTTCCTAGGAACCTACCTGATATACTTTTTCATGGTCTACCATTGTCGTTTCAGTAAACAAGTGATATTGAGGACATGAACTTTGAAAAAAGAACATTAGACGAGCTAACATCTTTGGTACGACAATTGACCATAAACCAGCACACATTTCAACAATAATAATATGTATGTGGGATATGCACCTCCGTAGATCATCTCACTAATGTAAGCCCTCAACTTCAGGCAATTAAATTCATACAGTCCACAACAGGAGTACAACCCGTACTTGGCCACATAATTCTAGCTAAAGAGACCATCCAAACTTGAAATATGATCCTGTCTTCAACTAGCCACCAAAGGTTCCTTTCCAGCCAAGCAACCAAGACATTTACCAACAACAGGAGTATCAACTTCCCTCACTGAGACAACAGGCGAATCCACACCTTGTGTCAATACAACAAAGCCCAAGTGATACTATGCAACAGGGTAACTCTGGGCCTGTATTAGAAGATCTGATGAAGCAACTCACACAACAGATGATAACGCAGAGCACACAACTAGAGCAACTCATGACGACCACCTTCAATGATCAACCCTTAGAATTTCTGAATTTAAGCCAAGAAGAGTTGCCTAAATGTGAATGTACAGATGGAAGTTGCGCCATCTATGAGGATATTAGTGATAATATTGACTCTTTGGTAGGAGCGCTGACAACTACTAAAGCAAGTGAAACAAGTACACCACAACAGCAACCTGAGGAGTTAGATCTGAAACTACTCCCATCGTATTTGATGTATGCTTACTTGGAGGAGTCTGAAAAGATACATGTGATCATCGCTAGTGATCTCCTCCCCAATCAAGAAGGAAGGTTGTTGAAGGTGTTGAAAGAGCGCATGAAAGCATTTGGTCGGTCCTTAGATGTCCTCACTAGGATCAACCTTACTATTGGCATGCACAAAATCTTGCTGGAAGATGATTACAGACTTGTGAGGTAGCCCTAATG